TTCTACTGAGCCATCTTCCCGGCCCCCCCTACTATATTTTCATTAGAAAACATAACATGCTTTTTGAAAAGAGGTTTAAAAACCAAAAGAAAAAAAAGCAAACCCAAAGCAAAAGCAGTTTCCTTGCCAGCGCGCCACAACCCCTGCTGCGCTGTGCTCCTGTCCTGCAGTCTGGCCTATGTGTACCGAGCACCCCACACACGCAAGTGGGGCAGCTGTTGTGCCCGTGTAACTGGGAGTCCTGCTTTATCAAGCCACCGCGGCCGAAGCACTAGGAGTAGCAACAGTAGGGTCCTTCTCTGTCGCCCAAGTTGGCTTTCAACCCCTGGGCTTCAGGGATCCTTGCACTTCCGGCTTGGGTCACAGTGCCTGGCTTGGCTTTATTTATTTATTGGTATTGGGAACCAAAGTCAGGCCCTTGTGCTTGCCAGCAGGGCGCTGAGCCACGAGCTGCATCCCTGGTCCCTGAGCATGACTTTTATTATTTTTTAAATTTTATTTATTTATTTTGTGTGTAGCCAGCCCAGGCCACCAGGGGGCGGGGCCGGCCGGCAGGTGGTGCCGGGGGACGAACCGAGGTCCCTGTGCTCTGCTTGGCTTAGCTTGTTCCAAGTAGGTGCCCCAGCCCACCGAGCCATCCCACCAGCCCCCCGAGCATGACTTTTAGTGCTGCGTCGCGCGCTGGTTTGTGCGTATTGTTCCTGTGCCGCCAGACACCTGCCGACTGCGCTGTGAATGACCAGCCTCCCATGAGCTCCTTTCCCCGAGGAAGTCTCCCACGTACAGCTTATTTTCACAGCAGACTGCTAGAAATAGAATTTCTGGGTCAAAGCTGTAATATCCAGCTCTCCCAGTGCTTCCTCGCAAGCACCGGCGCCCGCCACCCAACAGACAGCTGCTGTGGCTTGGGCCCGCCTGCTGGTTTCCAGGCAGAGCGCGCTCCCCCAGGTCCAGGGCACGGGCAGGGCCGGCAGCCAGAGCGTGGGCTGCCTCTGCCGTCGGCCTTGCTAAGCAGCTGAAGCTCTCTTTGCCTCAGCCTCCCTGTCTGTAAAATGGGAAACAGAACAGTTCGGACCTCCGAGAGGCTTTGAGAGATGCAATGAAGACACTGAAAATCAGGTGCAGACAGAGCGAGTATGCGACAAGCGACAAGCGGCTGCTATTGGGATCACTGCCACCTTGGAAGAACTCTCGTAACTATGATGCAATGTCAGAAAGATAGTTTAGCTCGTTTCTTTGATCCAGATAAATACAGATACAAGGTTGGCCTATTCTGCATGCCTTTCTTACTGAACAGTTCCTCTACGCTCCTGTTGGGTTGCTAGGCGGGTTTCTTTCAGCATACAAATGGTTACATTTTTATGTAAATTTCTTCTTTAAGTTCCTTCTCTGGTGTTTAAGTTCAGAGCTGCATAAAGTTACTCCTGTGGCTTTTCTTGCCCACCACCACCCCACCATTTGCGACTGGGACACCCCTGAAAACCTGGACAGGCTCAGTCACTTCACAAGAGCTCAGGCCTGGGCCCCGCTAGCCAGGTCTTCCAGGTAGTGCAGCCGGAGTTGGCCTGGGGGTGCTCCTCACACCCTGTGCACAAGGCCGTGTCCTCTGGGTGCCCCCAGCTTTCTCCAGCACACTCCCCCACCGCTTCCTTGGCACAGTGTGTGCTTCGCTCCATCCTGGGGTCACCCCCTAGAGCTGTAGGCAAGCCCTCGACTGAGCCTCGTCCTGGCCCCTTTCTATTCTTGATTTTGAGACAGATCGGCTGGCCTGGCCTCGGCTGTGCCATCCTCCTGCCCCAGCTTCCGCGGTGCCAGGGTTACAGCTGTTCCTCATTCTGCTGGCTTTCGCCTTCAGAGTTTTTAAGGACTCCTCCCTGAATTCCTCCTTTGGGAATCAGTTTTTATTCCCAACTTTTCATCGAGTAAGTCTCAGAAATAGATAAGCTAGAAAGTATAGCAATAAAGCAAGAAAGTTAGGGGCTGGGGAGATGGCTCAGTAGAATAAGCGCTTGTCTGGCAAGCGCAAGGGTTTGAGTTCAATCCCCAGTTCGGGGGGAAAAAAAAATTAGGGGAGATCAGTGAGCCTGACAGCTTTGAGACCAAGTGTCACATTCAGCTTCCAGCTTCCTGAAAGTGGAAACAAACGGGTAACTCCTTATTTGACCAAAAAAAAAAAAAAAAAAAAAAGTTTTACTAGGAAGATAACCTTTTTTCTGTAGTAATCCATAACAGAAACGAATCAAGTGAATTACAGGACCTTAAACAATAACTCAGGGCCAGCAACGTATCTAGAAACATTTCCACCCCATGTGGCCTTTTCCTATTTCAACCTCATAAAAAGGCAAGGAGCTTTTGCAGGACTTGACAGTAAACACCAGAATGTTTACAAAACAGATCTGAATTACCGTTAGCCATCCCCTTAGGTCAACACCCTGTAGGAATGGTGAATTTACAGAAAGGGAGAGAAAATGCGCTACAAAATGGAATTCTGAAATTTAACCTCTCTGCTGGAACAGCACCCGACGTTGAGCCTCAGCTCTGCGCAGACACCAGAAATAACCTGCAGCAGGGAGAACCCTGCTTGGGACGCTTTGAGTTTTACCCTGGGGGACTCAGGAGAGAGGTGCATGGTTGGGGTTTGACCCTGCAGAGGCTGAGAGCGAGCGGGGCAGCCTGGCTCTCACTGGGCTCCTATCTGGTTCCTCAGAGCTGATTTCTTGGGCTGCTCCTGCCTTGGCCAGCCCCCCACAGCCCCCCAAAGCAGCTCTGGTGGGAGTCCAGCACCACTTGGCTGCCTGGGCTGGCTGGGCGGGGCCTCCCCAGGGTGAGCCCTGTGCAGACCTCTGATGAGCAGTCCCCCTGCGCCAGGCACTGCATGCGGACTGCAAGCCTCGGTCAGCCTGGGAAGGGTACGAAGACCTTGTCTATGTCCTATGGGGCCAGAAGAGATTCGGCTGCAGGGAGCCGCCCTTAGAAGCACAGTGGCTGCCCCACGCCGCTTTAAGGTGGTTCTACTCATCTGAGAGTTCCCAGAGATGCAGGCCCAGGGTGCCAGAGGTGGCAGGGCCGCCCAGGCTCTGCTACTTGCTGCCAAGTCACAGGGCCCCAACCCCGAGGCAGGAGAGGCTAATTAACCAGACTCTAATTCATCTCATTGCACGTAGCTTCACGCACACTCTATTCACAAATGTAAGGCGTTTAAAAACAAAGTCTTTCTATGGTTATTAGTGATGAGAGGTAAAAGGGGTACAGGGGGGCACAAAGAATAGTTCATGTGGTGGTGCATGTCTGTAGTCGCAGCTGTCAGGAGGCTGAGGCAGGAGGGTTGCAAGTTCAAACTCAGCCTGGGCAATTGTGGTACCCCGGTCTCAAAGAAAAAATGCATTTATTAAAAAGGGTTGAGGGGGGCTGGAGAGATGGCTC